CATTTTACACCCGTGCAAAATCTTTTAGCAGCAGACTTACCAGCTAGATTACAATTTGCTCATTTTATGCGCAATCAGCAAAACCTTGACCAGGAATTTTTGGATAATGTACTATTCACTGATGAAGCGACCTTTACTCGTCGAGGAATTTTCAATTTTAGAAACAAGCACATATGGGATAATGAAAATCCTCACGTAGTCAGTGAGCGTCACTTCCAACATGAATTTAAGATAAATGTTTGGTGCGGAATCATAGGAAATCACCTTTTGGGTCCACATGAGCTTCCTCCAAATCTAAATGGTGACTTGTATTTAGATTTCCTGCAGCACCATTTAGTTGACTACCTCGACGATTTACCACTGAATACACGGCAAAATCTATTTTTCATGCAAGATGGAGCTCCCCCTCATTATTCTGTCAGAGTACGGAACTATCTTGACCACATTTTTCCGGATCGTTGGATCGGTCGTGGGAGTCGAATATTATGGCCTCCTCGTAGTCCTGACTTTAATCCTATGGATTTTTGTTTCTGGGGCTACATGAAATCAGTTGTCTATAGAGAAACTATAAACACCCGCGAAGAGCTATGGCAGAAAATTGTAAATGCCGCCGAATCATTTCGTAACAAGAATCTCTATTTTAAAATACGGCAGTCTTTGAACAAACGCGTTAATAAATGTATTGAAGTTGGAGGCGGACATGTTGAACATTTATTGTAATATTCGATATTCAATTGTTCATCACAATTTATAATTTGAAATAAACTCTTGTTCTTTTTGACATTCGTACCTTATTTTGATTACTCGAATTACCAAAGCTAAATATCTTGAGAACGGTGCAAGATAGCGACTATCAAAAAGTATAGCTTTTTTGTGCAAAAGAAGTTGTAAAATCAGAATTTGCTACCTGAGAATTAGATTTTTAAAAGATAAAAAAGTTCTGTCGGTTTCAACGCATTCGACCTAGCGCAGGTGGCGCTCTCTATGAGCTACAAGCAAACCATGGATATATTTCAATCTCTCCCGTTTGGAAAAAAACAAAAATATGGTGGTCGCGCTTTATAACTATTATAGCTTTTGAGGTTAGGTACGACTAATGGCTAGTTAGGTTCAAACGAATGTAGGAATTCGATTCAGTGATCCCAAAAATATAAAGATATGTTGGTTACACTTCATTCCTAAACATATAAAAGTGTAATCTTAGAAATTTGCGCTACTTTGGTTGCGCTGAGGTTAGCCACGAACTCTGACTAGTTGAAGTTATATTGATATCAGAATTGGTTTCAGCGATCCCGAAAACATACATTGTGGTGGTTAAACTGTGTTACTCATCATAGAAACGTATTATTTCAACGATTTGAAGTATTTTTAATGTTAGGGACGAACAGTGACCAGATGGGGTTTAATGAATATTGAATTCGAAATCAGCAATCCCAAAAACGTATAGATATGGTGATTCAGTCTTCAATACAGTATTTTTATGTTTCTTTTCTATCAATATTGCTCATTAAACAGAATTTTCCATGATTGTGGACGCAATATTGTAACCGCCATGATGTTTTTTTAAAATCACCAGACGGCATTCGATAGAGTTTTTAAATACGAAGCTTTTGACACGTCGAACGTCAATATTGATGCATTTTTATTCTGGGCAGCCCACTGTGCCCGTTGACGTGAAACGCCCGATATATATATTGAGATGAAATCATAGTAGTGAGAGCAAATTTAAAAGTTAAATTAAAATTATATTTAAATACAACACAGTAAAGAGAAAGGTTGCAATAATTGTTATAAAATTAAGAAAAATATTTGATTAAAAAAATTTGTTATTATTGAATAAGTATTATGAATCATTAGAAGAAAGTCGGATTATTAGAACAGAATAAATTTCAAGAATTCAAGTATAAAATTATTATCATTTTGGTCAAATAGAGTACATGCCAAAGATGTTATTAGAAACACATAATTAAAATTAATTAGAAATCGCAAGTGACATTTCAAACAAAAGCTCAAATGTCATAGTTTTATTAAATAGTTGTAATATGAGTTAGAAAAATAAGTAGTAAAAGATATTAAGGTCTAAAGTAAAATTTATATATTAATAAGATGAAAATGTCAGGTAAATGTCAAAATTAAAGTTGGATCCACAAGGCATAAAATAGTAAATATAAAAGTCAAATAAAATTATAGAAATAAGAAATATTTTGAAACATCATTTAAAATTTTTGTAAAGAAACTAGAATAGGATTGTAAATGTGTAAAGGATACAGTGAAGTGATGTGAAGTGTAAAAGGAAAACGGCATTTAAAAAGCAAAGGCATATATGTGGAAAGGCCCTAACAAGGGTGAAGAAAATCAAGAGAGTAAGAAAGAAAAAAATATAATGATTATTGATTAGTTACCAGAAAAAAATTGTTAAAGAGATAGGTGTTGCCGAAATTAATTGATAAAACCAGATAAAATAGAAGCAATTATCGTGAGAGAGTGTATAAAAGAAGCAAATTGGGAGAAACCAAATATATAAAAGTAAAAAGTTTTGGAAAAGTGACTCAAGAAAAATCCAGGAAGAGCGGAATAGTAGCAGCAGGTTCCAGAAAGCCAGTAAGAGCGAGATAGTAGCAGCAGGTTCTAGGAATCCAGATAGAAAGCGAAATAGCAAGCAGGTTCCGGAAATCCAGCGAAAGAGGAGAGACAAGGATTCCAGAACAACATTTAAGCAGAGTAAACGCGAGAAGCCAGTCGACAAGTGCTCAAGCAATAAGACGTAAAAAAAAGTGTGGTGAGTTCTGTGTGGTTTCATGCTGAGTAATACCCTCATTTGAACTTACTACTGAGAAGGGTCGAGAGCTAGACAGGGCAAAGTTAGACAACCAACAGTACACCAAAACAGCTATACAAAGTACATATCACTATAAAAAACAAAATATTTTGGCGCTTACACAAACACGAATTCATAATCATAATAATATTGGCGCCCAACGTGGGACAAGAAGAAAAAGTGAAGGCAAGAATAAAACTAGAGAAATGGATCTTAGAAGTGGAAAACAAACTGGAGAAGAATCAAGTGAGTCTCTATCAGAACAAGAAACGACAATGGAACCAGGACCAATAACAGGAAGAGGAAGAAAATCGGCAATACAGAATATATTAGAAGATATGAAAACCATACAAGAAGATAGAAAGAGGCAAGAGGAAGATAGAAAAAGACAAGAGGAAGATAGAAAAATGCAAGAGGAGGATAGAAGAAGACTAGAGGAAACAATAAAACAAGGTAGAAAAGAAGATTTACAAAAATTAGAAGAAGGAAAAACAGAAGATTTACAAAAATTAAAAGAAGACTTACAAAAATTAGAAGAAGGAAGAAAAGAAGATTTACAAAAATTTGAAGAAGGAAGAAAAGAAGATTTACAAAAATTTGATGAAGGAAGAAAAGAAGATTTAAAAGAATTTGAACAAGGAAGAAAAGAAGATATGGAAACAATGGTAAAAGTAATTGAACAAAAAGTACAATCCATCAAGGAAGAAATTCGACGGAAAACACAAACATGGAAACAAGATTTAAAAAGAGATATTGAAAAGACAGAGCAGGAGATAGCAATGGTAGAGAATAAAACGATGGAAATAGAAGAAACAATGAAGAAACAGGAAGATGAAATGAGAACTATTGGAAGAAACGTTTCGAATAATACTCATAACATTGAACAGGTGAAACGACAGGTGGAGGATAGAGTAAGTGGGATTAGAAACGAGATGGAATTGGAAAGAAGAACAAAAGAAAGAATAGAAGAACTCCAGAAAGAAGTTGAAAGAATAAGAGAATTGAAAGGACGAGAAGGTGAAATGGTTACAAGATGGATTTGTCAAGGAGACAGAAAAATACATAAATTTACAAGGTACATAAACAAGTTACACCCAATGGTATTTATAAAATCTATTAACCAGATGATTAAAGAAATAGAAGAAGAAATATTAGATGAAGATACTAAACTGGAGAGAATAAAGGAAATTATGAGAGAAAACTTAGAAGCAGAAGCACTGATATGGTTCAATGGCATATAAAATGATGTTCAAGATTACGAACAATTAAGAAATCGATTCCTACAACATTTTTGGGGTGACAATGCACAATTAATGGTAAGAGAAAGAAAGTTATATTTTGGAAAGTTTAATCCACACATATCCAACAGTCTCACTAATTATGCACTTAGACTATACTCGCTAGCTCAGTACTTAACATAAAAAATAAGTGAACAAGATTTAGTGTTGTATATTTCCCGACAGTTCAAACAAGAGGTAGCAGAAACCATCGCAATGCATGACATAAAACAATGGAGCATATTTGACTAGAGTAGAAAGAAATATGCCTAGTAATTATCAAAATTCCAGTAACATGAATCGTAAGAATTTTCAAAATTCAAGTAACCATCAGGGAAATAGTCTTAGAAATTTTACAAGATCAAAACAATTTTAATAATAATAGAAACTACAACAATTTTCGGCAAAATAATCATAACAATCAAAATAATGGCAATTTTAACAATAATTTTCGGAATAATAATAATTTCACCAATCGATATAACAATACTAACAATTTTGGTAATAACCAACGTACTCAAAATGCTCATGCTAACAATAATAGAAATTTTAACAATTATAATAATGATTTTAACCATGGTTTTCGACAAAATGAATACAACAATACACGGCGCAATCAATATCAATCATCGAGAGGGGAAGAAGTTGTACAGCCTCGAAGGCAAGTTAATTTTCAGAGTCGACGAAGTCCTAGCAGATCAGAAGAACGAGCTGAAATGCCCAGAAATGAAGATGGTAGGTTTGAAACACAGAGATCCAGATCTTTAGACAGGGAGTCAGTAAGACAAAATACAAACGATCCTCCAAATTTTTAGTAAAATGCAAGCCAGACAAATTAATTAAATTATATAATTGTAATTATATGCATCCCCGAGAATTTATAACATTAGATTAAAACGTAATAATAAATCAAAATAACAATTTAATTTATGTAAATTCCAAATTTCAAAATACCAATTTAAATATACTACTTGATACAGGTTCTGAAGCATCATTAATAAGTCAAAATATAGTAGAAAAATTTCAAAATTTGAATCAACACATAATTAAAGTAAATAAATTAACATTAGTAGGTCCAAATAACAAAAAACTGTATGATGTTAACAAATTGCTAAATAATACTTTAGAATTAAATAATCACAAAATAGTATTTCAACTTTTAATAGTACCCATCCTGACCATGGACATTGTCTTAGGATCAGATTATTTAAACAAATACAAAGCCAAATTAGATTATGAAAATAGAAATTTGTGCATAAATGATATATGGGTAGAGTTCAAAGAAATAAGTGAAGTTATGAATATGAATGATAGTGAACGAGGAATAATTGTAAAGGAAAAAGATAGGGAAATGATAGAAGTTAATTTTTGTAGTGAGAATGATTATTATTATAATGAAGAATATGAAGAATTATTTAATATAAATGATATTAAAATAAAAGTTATTGATAATTATGATAAATAGGTAAGAGATTTGTTAAAGAAGTAGGAAGGAGTGGTTTCAAATGAAGTGAGAGTTGCTTAAAAGTTATGTTTATAAAATAGAAGTTAGAGATATTAAGAATTTTAAAGCAAAGTCGAAGTCAATACCATATATTCACAAGGAAAAGGTAAAAGAAATAGGTAAATTATTGAAAGATAAAATAATAGAAATTGATTTGACAAATTTTCTTATAACAAAAAAATTTGCAAATAAATTTGGGAAATTGAGATGAAATCATAGTAGTGAGAGCAAATTTAAAAGTTAAATTAAAATTCTATTTAAATACAACTCAATAAAGAGAAAGGTTGCAATAATTGTTATAAAATTAAGAAAAATATTTGATTAAAAAAATTTGTTAGTATTGAATAAGTATTATGAATCATTAGAAGAAAGTCGGCTTATTAGAATAGAATAAATTTCAAGAATTCAAGTATAAAATTATTATCATTTTGGTAAAATAGAGTACATGCCAAAGATGTTATTAGAAAAACATAATTAAAATTAATTAGAAATCGCTAGTGACCTATATCAAACAAAAGCTCAAATGTCATAGTTTTATTAAATAGTTGTAATATGAGTTAGAAAAATAAGTAGTAAAAGATATTAAGGTCTAAAGTAAAATTTATATATCAATAAGATGAAAATGTCAAGTAAATGTCAAAATTAAAATTGGACCCACAAGGCATAAAATAGTACATATAAAAGTCAAATAAAATTATAGAAATAAGAAATATTTTGAAACATAATTTAAAATTTTTGTAAAGAAACTAGAATAGGTTTGTAAATGTGTAAAGGATAAAGTGAAGTGATGTGAAGTATAAAAGGAAAACGGCATTTAAAAAGCAAAGGCATATATGTGGAAAGGCCCTAACAAGAATGAAGAAAATCAAGAGTAAGAAAAAAAAAGAAAATGATTATTAATTAGTTACCAGAAAAAAATTGTCAAAGAGATAGGTGTTGCCGAAATTAATTGATAAAACCAGATAAAATAGAAGCAGTTATCATGAGAGTGTATAAAAGAAGCAAATTGGGAGAAACCAAATATATAAAAGTAAAAAGTTTTGGAAAAGTGACTCAAGAAAAATCCAGGAAGAGCGAAATAGTAGCAGCAGGTTCCAGAAAGCCAGTAAGAGCGGGATAGCAGCAGCAGGTTCCAGGAAGACGTAAAAAAAAGTGTGGTGAGTTGTGTGTCGTTTCATGCTGAGTAATACCTTCATTTGAACCTACTACTGAGAAGGGTCGAGAGCTAGACAAGGCAAAGTTAGACAACCAACAGTACACCAAAACAGTTATACAAACAAAGTACATATCACTATAAAAATCAAAATATTTTGGCGCTTACACAAACACGAATTCATAATCATAGCAATATATATATATATATATATAAAACAATCCAACACTTATTTTGAGAACACAGCAGAATCAGTATGTACGCGTCATTACAAAACTATTCTACATGAAGTCCGCCAAGTTCAAAACACCTCTCCAATCTTTTTCTAAATGCAGCATAGGTCGAATGTATCATTTCTTCATTTACTTGGGCAATAGCTTTTCAAGAAATGAACATTGTGTTGCACTGGTTTTCTGTACATAGTCCAGTCGACAGAGGCCGAAAAGTTACTGTTAGTGACATTTTCTTGATAACTCGGAAATAACTACACAGGAATACTTTAAATGATGAGTACAATAACAGGCTAATTTGCTGACAAAGGAAAAAAGTTATTCACAATTTAATCGTGAAAATTTTTTTTAGTAGTTTTCTTTAAATAACACGACATGATTTTGTTCGTAATAAAAATAGCTACAAAATGGCGGTGGTCCGATTACGAAATTTACAATTTTCCTGATAAAATACTTTGTCAGCAAATTAGCCTGTTATTGTACTCATCATTTAAAGTAGGCCTGTGTAGTTATTTCCGGGTTATCAAGGTTTGACACAGGTCGAACCTCTACCAACTGGACTAACACTCTTTCTTTTAAGGAGCCCCCAAAGGAAATAATTAAAATACCAATAATTTGTAGAAAGAAATTGTTATCAATAATTGTTTGACATTAGTTGTGACATTAGGTGTTGATATTTAATTTTATTCAAATAATGATTACTTCACAGCATCGCATTTACCTTGTTAAATGTTACGGTATGGGTAACATTTCTTATAGCCAAGCAAATGAATTGTTTCATGAAAAATATCCAGATGTTAAAGTTACACGCCAAAACCGGAGAAAATTAATTCGAAAATTTGATTTAACTGGTGATGTAAAAAACGTAAAAAGGTCAAAAAAGAGACACGATGACGATGATGCAGTCACAATACTAGTTTTGAATTCGGTAGAAGAAAACCCGAGACTACCATTAAGGAAGATATCTAAACAAATCGATGTTAGCAAGGCACATATTCAGAAGATTTTGTTAGAAAATAAGTAAGGCTTTCAAACCAAAAGTAATTCACACTCTAGAAGTTGGTGATGATGCGCATCGTTTGGAGTTCTGTTTAGAAATAGGAGAAAGGATTGTGGTAGATAGACTTTTTCACAAAAATATAATTTTTTCACTTTTTCTACCAACGGAGTGGTATCGTCGCAAAATTGTCGTTTTTGGTCTCAAGAAAATCCTTCCTTTACAGTTACTTCAAGAAGTCAAAGGTTCAAAAAGTAAATGTTTGGTGCGCGATTACTTTCAACCGAATAATTGGGCCATACTTTTTTGAAGCAAATTTAAATCAATATCTCTGGAGATGCTAGACACGTTTTTCTGACCAGAATTAGAAGAGGAACGTTTGAAATATAGACAAAAAGCGTATTTCCAACAAGACGGATGTCCCGCTCACTCAACAATTCTAGTCCGCAATTGGCTTAACAGCAACAACAAATTTCGAGAGAAGTGGATAGGAAGATATGGTCCTATTTGTTGGCCAGCAAGGTCCCCTAACTTGTCGTCGCTTGATTATTTCCTTTGGGGCTTCTTGAAAGAAAGAGTGTACAGAGAACCAGTGCAACACAATGTTGATTTCTTGAAAAACAGGATAATTGAAGCTGTTGCCCAAGTAATGTCTTCTTCTAAGGCCTTCGGGAAATCCAAACGAGTCTTGTTGACATTCTCGGCTGGTTCTCCATAGGTCGTCTTGAAGAATGTTATTTTATATATTATTTTTTTTCTATTATATTTGGGTTGTCAGTATAACTCTTCTCTAATATTGGTTTGGAGGTTCTCTGTTTATTTATTTTGTTTTATTTTTAATTCATTTGTTATTTTGTTTTTGTTTTGTTTGTGTTTTTTTATTGATTTATTTTTGTTCTCTCTTTTGATTTTTATTTGTTTAGCCTTTTCCTTTTTTTTTTGTTCTAATATATTTTTGGCTTTTTTATATTTGTTTATTTTTTTTCATGTAGGAATCGGGAAGCGGAATGGTAGGTTTGAAATTAAAGATTTATTTATGTAAAAAACCAAAAGCGTTGCGAGACTACGAATTCTTTCTTA